ATTTAAAATTAACATCCCATGGTCAATCTTGTTTCATTGCTCCTCCAGCTCTAGATTATTTTGAGACAATCCTCAGAACTCAGTATTTCAGACTTTACTTCTTTCTAAAATATGACAAAATAAATCTTTGACAAAAGAAAATTAATAAGGGGACATTTAGTAATAGCATTTTTTTACATGACAATTTAAAAAATTATGATATTTGGTTTGTGTTTTACAAAACATAATTATGGAGAAGTTCTCTTTATTATAAAAATTCTGAATATAGAAATCCTGAGTAATATCAAAGAAGACAACATTTAATTGTATTCAACCTATTTAAATATTGGAGGCTGGCTAGCAGAAATAAGTAAAATATACAAGTACAAATGTACAGCTGGTGTCTTAGCTGGAACACGTTTTTAAGTTTGTTTACATAACTCTTGTATTTATATTCTGCCAATATAAGTCCTTAGCAGTACATCTGCAGAATTTATCTGACTCCAGAATGGTCACTGGGTTATTGTGTTTTCCCCAAGCGAGTAAGTGCTGCAGGGCTTTGGATCCAATGAGAAAAACAGAGTCATATTAATGAGGAAGAATATGTTGCTGGCTACAGTCATGGCTCTTCCCCCATCAACTTTTCCTCCATGTCAGGTTTCCTCCTGCCACAAGAGAACAGAGGCTCATTCAACACTCCAAAGAACTTAGCATGCAGGGCAGGTGAAGAAAGTAAAACACAGGCAATTTAAAGACATTTCTAGAGCTTGTAATGAAACACATTCAATTTCTTTATCTTTTCCATTTATTAATCTTTTCTGTTTATTAATCTCTCATTGTCTCTTAAAAAGGATTCATGGTCTCCTCCCAGTTGCTATGATGAGACAAATGTGGAACTTTTATTTTTCTGGATTGTGTAGACTTCAGCTGTCATCTCTACTAAGTAAGTCAGTCCACAGGGCAGCTTAGTTCAGGCCTTTTGATATTTTTATTTCCGTAATAGTAAGAAGAAGAAGAAAAGGACTGATATAAAGAGAGGACTGCATTTCTAAACCCCGTGAAGGGAGATTCTGCCAGAGAGGTAAATGAGGAGGAAAATAGAAGTGCTAGGTGTGAGAAGAGGGGGAAAGCAGGTGTTTTGGGGTTGAAGAGTAGTCATACTCTCTGCACTCTTTCCTCCATCACTGACCCTAGGGAAGTAGAACCTTGGTGATAGGTTTTCAGTCTCAGCAAAATCCCACAGCACATCTGGGGCCACCATGTGGTTTGGACAATGAGCAGTCTACTAATGACAATGACCAGTATGGGCTGAGAAACACTGGGTTTCCCCAAATGTTCTCAGCCAAGTAAAACTTTCAGGATCTACATGGATCTGGATGAAGGAGAGGTGATAGAGTCCCCCAAAAATAACATAATGGTACATGACACATTATTAATTGCTGATTTTGCTAAGTGACTTTCCCAGTTTATAGAGTAGGCTATAAAGCCTGAATTGAAGTTCTACACCTAAATTCCCATCTTGGATATTTCAAAATATTTTGACCCTAGGGGAAAGGAGGCCCTTTTGCAATAATACTGAAAGCAACCAATATTTGAGAGAACATATAGTTTTCAGAGTCCTCTCACAGACTTGGGATAACCTTGAGGAATTGCAATGGTCAATGCTTTCTCCACCCACAGCATACAAATGAGGCAGTCGCAGTCAAAGGAGATAAGATAGCCAAGGCCTATTGCCTTTGCATGACAGGACTTAGAGTCTGTCCCTAATTATTGCATTTCATTGCTTTGAGTGTTTCACTGCTGGAGTATGCAGTTGACTATAGATGAATATGTTGATGGCTCGATCCCTAACCACACACAGTGGGTCAGGAGGCCAGTAATTAGAGAAACAAGACCTGCAGTGAGTGTGGAGGAGGCTGGTATGATGGAGGCATGGTGGAAGCAGACACAGGAGGAAACTGCAGTGCTGGGAGCCAAGAGGTGGATGAGCTGAAGGCTTCTCTAGATGTTCACAAGCCATTCAGGATAATTTTAATTTGCTAAAAAGAGTAACATGACTTGAGGCCTCTGCAAAGTGGCAGGATGCTACCTTACAGAATCACATCTTGCCTCGGGCACAAAGTTTTTCTAGTGCTTTGGTAAGATGAGGAAGTATTTCACCAAATATACTTAGCTCTTAATTAAACTCTAAAAATTTAAAGTGATACATAAAAAAGGTTGAAATGATCCACTTCAACCAATGTTTCTGACTTTCTAAATAGATATATGCTACACTCATGATGATTGATTCATCATGAAGACTTTCTAAGTTACCTTGTTACAAACACAGAGGAGATATAAAAAATAGAAGGGTTAAAATTAGTGTTAAGAGAGATTACAGTAGCTAATCCACATCGATTTAGCTTTGTAGAGCCTAAAATAGCATATGCTGAATTGTACCAAAAACAGAGGTGCAATTAAGGTGCACTGAAATCTGTCCTTAATTCCTCCAGCAAGAATTGGTACATACTCCACCCATGTGGAGAGCACTAATACTGGACTCTTCAGCAAATCACTTGTTCTTTCTAGACTCATTTGCCTTATTTATGTGATACTACCCTTTAGCTAAGCATTTCATTTAAAATTTGCTTTAAGAGTGCAATCTAGGTACTAAGTAGTAAAAATAATTTCTCTTTATTGGATTTGTAACATATCTGATAGTATATATGTATATATTAGTGGAGATATTGTGTGTGTGTATATATATATATATATATATATATATATATATATATATATATATATATATATAATATATCAGACATAAAATATCATCATAATAAAAGGCTAATATGCAAAGGATCATCATGCTGTTATGCCATAATGACCAATCAGCAGGGACCTGAAGTTGTGTGGCTCCTGTCTGGGATAGGAGACCTCAGGCAGCAGCCTTTGCCCTGGTGCTGGGCCGGGGGACCTGAGGCCATGCCCTCTGCCTGAACCTCCTGCCCAGCGGGGTTTGATAGGGGTGGGGCTGGCTGGGTCTGAGTCAGGTGAGATTTCAAGGCACACACAAGTGGAAAGGGACTTGATTCCGGGTTCCACGGTGGGTCCCAGACTCTGACAGGAGGGAGATTTTCATATACATTTTACTATCTTTCATCTCTGACACTGCTATTATACAGAAAGGGCAAATAGCAATATTAAAATATTTCTTCTAATCAATTCCCTTTTAATGTGCAAAAATTTTGCATTAATGTGCGGAAAGATTGCAGAAAGATTCCTGCAATAGGGCTTCCTGCTGTGGTTGCCGCCCTGCTTGCTTTCCTCCCTTCTGCTTGCCCTTCCTGCTTCCTTCCCTTCTCCCCTGCCCCACTTGCTTGCTTCTCCACAGCTTGGCTCCCTTCTGCAGCACTTGGCTTCTTTCTACGCTGTCTTCAGTCTTTGCTCTGGCCTGGATATGCAAGTTAACTGCCATCTTGGTTGGGTTAATTTGCATACTCACCCTGATTGGCTGGTGGGCGTGGCTTGTGAGCATAGCAAATGTACGATCAATTTGCATGTTTCTCTTTTATTAGGTAGGATAATACAGGCGGTCTTCGGGTTACATCGGACTCAACAAATGTTTTGTGGTTACATCTCCATCTCCCATCCTATCTAATAAAGAGGGAATATGCTAATTGACCCTCACACTGTTGCAAAGATGCCAGTGTCCACAGCCAATAAGGAGGGAGTATGCTAATTGACTGTCTTGCCCTCAAAGATGGTGGTGCTCACAGCCTCAAGACGGTAACACCAAGTTCCCTCAGCCCCACTGGGGAGGCAGGTGTGCAGCAAGGCTAGGCCCACCCCTAGGCAGGCCTGGCTACTCTGTGCACCTGCCTCCAGAGTCCCCCAGTCCCCTCAGCCCCACAGATGCCCAGGGCCGGCCCAAGGCACAGGCAAACCTTGGATGGCAGCTGCCCAGCTGCCCAGGGCCACCCAAGGCTCAGGTAACCAGGACTGGCTGAGGCTTGCACTGCCAGTAGTGGCTGCAGCAGAGGTGTGAAAGGGCACAGCCTTCCCTGATTGCTGGGTTACCTCCTGTCTCTGAGGGCTCCCAGACTGTGAGAGGAGGCAGGCCAGGCTGAAGCCCCCCCCCCCCCCTACACACACACACACACACACACACACACACACACATCCAGTGCATGAATTTTTATGCACCAGGCCTCTAGTTTATTTATAAAAAAAAAAAATGTTCCATCATTTTGACATATGTACATATGTGCTTTATGTTTTTTATTATTTATTTATCATAACTAAATGTGAGGAATTGTTATCTTTCTTCAAAGTTTTTTTTACTGTTTCATTTCATTACTGCTGTGCATATGCTCCATATGAGTAATGTTGGTGCTTATGTAGGTGGGTTCTGATTTACGGTGAAAATCGTGTTATATTGCATCAGAGGAATGAATCTCTGACATAACCTGAGGACCTAGTGTATATTGGACTGTGAGTGCATGCACACATGTATTACTGTAATCTACAGTACAGGCAGGCAGAGTATTGTGAAGCTTAATTCATTGGTGATTGGCCTAGATTAGAATCCAGTCTTGTCTACCTTGAAAGTCTGTGCTCCTTCTTCACCATACACATGCTAAAGGTGTGTAGAGATGTTTCATATTTAAGAAGCCAGTTTTAACACATAGTATGATTCAACTCATTTATTCTGCAAATAATTACTGAATTTTTATTATGTTCTAAGGGCTGTGATAATAGCTCAATCTATATGGATCAACACAACCAAGTGGCCCCTATCCACATGGGGTTTTACTATGTTGTGGAGGAGTTTGTTAGTAACAGCTCTAGTAAGGAGGAAAAACATAAACAGTTGGTATTGATAAGTTCTGTTTCAAGTCCCCAAATGTTTACTATAAGAACAGAAAAAGTAAAAATTATGAAAAATAAGAATAAAATGAAGCTATTTTGATTTTTGCATTTCGTCTCTAAAGGTTGCAAAGATATTTCTTATGGTGGTATTCTTTTGACTCCTTTTTCAGATAAAGTCATTCCTCCCCACATATACACTGAGGACTCCTTCTGAAGACTCCCCATACTAGTAGGTAGTCGCCCTAACCCCTCCCTGAGAGTTAGGGTCTCTGACTGCATCTAGAACTTAAAGTAATTAAGAATATATGTGTGTGTGTGTGTGTGTGTGTGTGTGTGTGTATATATATATATATATATATATATATATATATATATATATATATATTTGCAAGAAAGTTACTTTAACTAAACATTTCCTGCATTGTTATTAGTTGGTAAAGAATTAAACATCACCTCAGAGTGTTTATTTACTTTGGGAAATATGAATTAAATGAAGAATAGCATTTATATATCTAATAATTAAAATTTATAGCCCTTCCCCAATATATTTTCTTTCATTTCAAAATACAATGTAACAGACTCTACTATTCATTGTCCTAGGTATCAACTAATGAGATTTAATCTATTCTTGAGCTCATCTCTCTATCAAGCTCTCTGCCTTACTCATGCTTAAATTTGGTCATATCTTAAATCCAACAGTCCTGCAGTTTCATTCATTACTAACCCCAACCAGGCTTTGATGCACCTGTTCCTATTACAAGTGAATCTCAAAGTGAAAGATAATCATAGTCAATTTTCATTCTTCCTGAGAATGATTTTTTTTTTTTTTTTTGGTCAAGTGGAGATCTTCACTGTAAAAATTTCAGCTTCCTTTAACTGGGGCTCAGTATAACTAGAGTTGCCCAGGTGTGCCTGACAAAAAGTGTCAAAGGAAGATCAAAATAAAGGTGCTAATGAAGCCAAGAATAGTTGCCTAATGTACTTAACTCTTAGATTCTTTTTTTAAAAATTAAAATGATTGACTGAGAAGGATTCGAGGATTTCTTAACAAGGGCTAACTCAATGTGTGGACATAATTGTAAAAAAAAGTCTTACTGAAGTGCCAAATAAAACAATCAGATATAAGCCCCAATGGATGTTACACAAATACATTTCCATATTTCTTTAAAACAAACTTTAAAAAAATATTTTTATTGATTTCAGAGAAAGAGAGATAAAAACATCAATGGTGAGAAAGAATCAGTGACCAGCTACCTCCTACACACTCCCCATTGGGGACTGAACTCACAATTAGGCATAACCCTTGGCCCTGACCAGAATCCAACTGTGTCTTCCCAGTTCATAGGTCGATGTTCAGCCACTGAGTCACACTAGCCAGGCTCCATATTTCTTAAGATTTTGCAGCTAATAAGAAATTATTCCTAAGACATTTAGAAATTCAAATTACTGGAGATAAATCTTGGCTTCACTTCTCTTGACATGTTCATGCTTGAACTTTCTTTTGATGTCATCTATTGTGGTGTGATCACCAACATTTCCATTACTTACTCAATTCTTTTAAAAAATATATATTTTTATTGATTTCAGAGAGGAAGATAGAGGGAAGAGAAAGATAGAAAAATCAATGATGAAAGAGAATCATTAATTGGCTGCCTTCTGCACACCACCTACTGTGAATCCAGTTGGCAATCCCGGGCATGTGCCCTTGGCTGGAATCAAACCTGGGACCCTTCAGTCCACAGACTGATGCTCTATTCACTGAGCCAAACCAGCTAGGGCTCTCAATTTCTATTGACATTTTTTATTCCTCTATTTACTCTGTTCTACATTATAGCCTGAGGTCTGTAGGAGTGGAAGGCAGTCTCATATTCAGATTTTGCTAAAGAGAAGGTTCATTTAAATAAAACTTCCAATAGTCCAAGTTCTGAAATTTTAGATTGGAGGTTATTTCACCAACTTTCCCCAAGTGTAAGAAATTCAGAGTGTAGAGACCTTTGTTATAACATTAAAATGAAGAGTCATGCTGTGTGGATTTCCAGGATGGAAAGCTAATTCCTCTTGCATTACGCCTTCTGTGGACAGAGCAGAGGGTCCTTCTCCCACTCCTTCCAGACTTTAAAGAAAAGGCTATATTTTTGTTTCTTCTTACTTTTAGGATTTGGTAAAATTAGGGAATTTAGACAGACAAGGTCTTTCTTTCTAAAACCTTACCTAAATTTCTATATATAGTTTGCTATATAAATCTTATTTATGTGTCTCAACATAGAAATATATAAGAAACTTATATAGAGAAACTTATCTAACACGTATGTATGTAATTTTTTGAAATTTTGAAAAAAAATATGTCAGTAATCCAATTTACATTGTAGAGGAAAGAACACTGAAAACTGAGTTAGAAAACCTGAATACTCAATAGCCATGAGTCTGTAAGCAATGTATGAAATATCTCTAAGACCAGAATAGTTGACTCATCGGTATATTAATGACAATAACTTCTGTCCAAATTGCTAGCTTATTATTATGAGCATGAAACGAAGTAACATATGTAAAAGTGATTTAAAACCTGTGATGCCCTATACAACAGCAAAATATTATTATGAGGTACGATACCTTCCTTCATTTGCCTGCAGTAGTCACCTGCTTAGCCTGTGTGTTCTGAGAACTTCATCTACCAACTTTATATTGTGAGCCAAAGGAAAATGTGATCTGATCTAATATATATATATATATATATATATATATATATATATATATATATATATATATATTTGTCTTGTCTATATAACGGTTATAGCTAGAGGAGCAAACACCTGCATGTGTGTAAATAATAATATATAGAAGATTATTTATAAGTGAAATAGTTTAAAAGGGTTATTATTATGCCCCAGTCAAGAGGGTAATTATATATTTATGGGTGAAAAGTGCAAGTCTCGGATGCCTATTCATTGGGGCCAAGACAGGTGTGTGTTTGGTCTCACTAGCCCAGCCAAATAGTATCTGAGTCTGCTATTTATTAATCATAGCTGGCTCCTCCCTCTGCTGTCTGTGAGTGCCACTGAGAGACTCTACCTACAATGAACTGTAGATCTTTTTGGATCTTAAACTAATGACACAGGCTAGTAACCAGAGGAATAGGAAAACTGAGACAGAGTGTTAAACAGCCAAGCAGTTTACAGCCATCTAGTAAGTTGCAAAATCCTGTTTTCCCTAGCCAAGACACTTAGGAGTAAGTAATTGATATTTCTCACCAACCAGAGGATAAATCGCTTAAATCGCCCTACTCAGGGAGACAGGTAACAGAAATCCAGTTAGTGCCCTTTACCAACCACACTCAAGGACAGATGAAGTTAAGAGAATAAATCTTATTTTGGCGCATGAATATTCTATTGAGATCCTCCTCTAAGACCTCCCCTACCAAAAGCCCCAACTTTAAAAATCCCCCAAACAGAAGGACCCAGAACATACCCTCCTGAGAGCACACCCAACCCTTTCAATTTTCCCTCTTCTTCCCTCTCAGGCATGCATCTCTTAAACTCTAAGGGACTTCATCAGACTTACAACCAGGGAGCAATGGGCAGTGGTGGCTCGTTCCCAGCTAATCCCCTGAACCTGTCTCCAAGGTCCCATTTTCTCCGACTTCCCAGGGAGCCAAAGCAGCCCTGCCTCGGCTCTCTTCTATTGCTCCTTCTTTTCTAAGCCCGCTCTTGTTTCGCTGTCCCCAGCTTTAATAAACATGCTCTCAAAATCACCTGCACTCATCTTGTAAAATCTTTCCTACATAAAGTTGAGAACCCACACACTACCAATGGCCCAAGGCAGACCTGCTCTGGGCCTGGCCATGTCTAGTAACACTATCAATAGGTTGACAATCTGAAATAACATCAATTAAATTGAACACTGAGGCAGAGTAATTTATTTGCACTGATTTGGACTCACTACTAGACATCAGAATTAGTACCTTTTTCCATGCCACACTTGATTCACTAGTAAACATATAAAGGCTAGATCCCCTGAAATAATCAGCTCTGGGCCACTCACCTTAGCTCGCTTGCTTTCCTTCTTTTACAAAGACTACCACGTGTGTTTGCGGGCACTTTCATAGTTCTGTAATCAGCCTGTACAAGTGTGCACTGCCTGTAGGCTATACTCTCTTTCCTGATGTTTTCCAGATACACCCAGACACCATCCACAAACGTTTGTAACAAACTATTCAAAGCACAGTTCAGAATTGCCAGAGGTCACTGTACCTTCTACTGTCTCCTGTGCAAACATGGGTGCTGGTTGGTGATGTTTATACGCTGGTGTGAGTTTGCTAACATTCTGCTCAATCTCTGAAGGTTGTGTTTATTCAACCATGACTTGTGGTCTTATACTATGTGTATGTTTAGGACTTAGAGTTGAGAATAATTACTGGTATTTCTTTAGTTCTGAACTACTTCTTCCAAAATCCAATTGCATATTAATATTACTCAGTCACTATGTATTCTTGCCTGTGGCATGCTGTTTAAGCATTTTAACATCTGTTTTTTAAAGAATGCATTTAAAATACCTTTGCAATGGTAAATGTGCAGAGCCCACCAGAATAAGTCTGTGACAGTTTTTTGCCAAACGAATACCACAATATAGCATATTAAAAATTTAATTGAGATTGAATGAAGTTCTTTTAAAATTAGCAGAACAGCAATGAATAATAAAATTATGGTAGTTTTTGGCACATGTTCACATAGTCACAAGTCTAACTTTCACTTGTTGAAATGGCAAATGCAATGTATCTGTGACTTATTGCTCATGATTATGTTTCCTAGAACTACAAGTTCAGGTCTAATTATGCTTGGTTAAGTCTTAAATTTTGGGGAGGAATATTTACATTTCAAAAATTCCAAAGTCCAGAAATTTTACACAACATTTAAAAAATAAATCTCTATTTCGTCTGTCATTAAAATGCAGTGTAAATTTTCAGAAAGGTTACATTCTATCTTACTGTTCATGGGTAGCATTTCTGGAATGCTGCTACATATCTTACAAAGTATTTTTTATAAACATGTTTAACATGTATGCGTTTAGAAGAACATAGGCTAGTGGCAGTAGTCGATATCAAGAGGAAAATATCTAAAGCTTTGAAAAAAAATCTACCCTTTTATAATATTTGCATTCTTGACATTTTCAATGTCTATAGTTATAGAAATGCAATGCTTTTTCACTGAATTAATAGCAACTTCAGGAATGTGTC